ACATGAAAAGCTTACCATTCATATACAAATTAATAGTATAAAACAAGTCATCAAAATGTTATCGTCTATCCTGCCTTGATCAAGCGTTGCACTCATGATCATGGTAATCAGATTAACGTGCAGTAATGTTGCAACAAGCTATAAAAGTTGAGAGCGTTGTTTCTGTAGGCTTAATAATGTCAGAAAGGTAGGATGGATTCCGGTAAAGCTTTAAGCAGCTATCACAAAAGTAGTGTAAGTAACTTCCACTAATCAAATCAACAAGGAACACATATAGATTACGTATACTACTAGTCATAGATGACAAAGGTGGTGAAGGACGACTACCTCTTCTTCTAAAATGCACGCATGAATACTGACTATGCGTTAGATCACGCAACTAAACATCTGAGACTGACTCAATGAAGAAGATAAACACGCCTTGCATCCTAACATGATGAGATTAGGTTTAAATTCAGAGAGAAGTTGACTAAGCATGATAGTGATAATCCTCATCAGGAGGACGAACATCGCATTTAGTCTGTTGTGGAAACAGCAGTGAAGACAGTTGATAAAGCAGTAAGAGAATAGGGGATTTCACCGAAAGTGTTAGATGCTAGAAGACTGATTCCAGTTGCCTCCAAACACGTGTAGCAACGAAAAATGTTTATACATAAACTGATTGAAAGTCTCCATAACAACGGTCAGAAATGGTAGGTGAAGAAAAGAAAAGCGCAGGAAAAGACATCAGCAATATTTGTCAAGCACTTTGGCAAATAGGTTCTAAAAAATTGTTGATAGTGAAAAATGTCATAGAAAGGTGAAAACGTTAAAAGCCTAGTAGGACAGAAGATATAGTCACTAAACAGAATACTTTGATGAGCGGTTCAGTCGACCGATAGCTTCACAGCAACTGATTATTGCTTGACCTCAAACTATACACGAAGTAGCGAAAATTGACTCCAGAGTAAAAAGATACATTTAAGAAGACCTGATAGTTTGAGTCCAGGGGTGTTTATGGATGACGACGATACATAATCGGCTAGATTTACTAAAATTCCTAACTACTGTATGAGAATCCTTAGTAGTTCTATCAGACTAGTGATTATTATTATTATTAATGCTCCCTTGGGTTCCTAGTGGAACATAGGGCTTCAACTGCAAGTCTCCTACTTCTTTCTGTCTTCTGCTGTACTTTTCACCTGCATCCATGTAAGTCAATACTGTTTCAGCTCCTCTGCACACGATCTCTTCCATGTCACCCTTGGACGTCCCACTCGCCGCTTCCCTTTCGGGTTCCACTCGAGCACTGGCCTGACGCGCGATGTCACCCGGCGGCCTCCTCAGCGAGTGTCCAATCCATCTCCACTTTCTCCTGCATATTTGTTTAGCGATTGGTTCTTGTTTTGTTTTTTCCCATAGTTTCTTGTTGGTGATTCTTTCCGGCCATCTGATCTTCAGTATAGAACGAAGACAGTTGTTGATAAAGGTCTGCAACAGGCTGTTGGAAATATTCTTTGTGACACACTGGCCAAGTTTCTGATCCGTAAAGAAGAACTGACTGACTTGACGTTTGTATTGAAAATCCGAATTTTGTTGTTGATGCAGGCTGAGTGACGAAGACTTCCAGATTGGTTTCAGGTTGATGAATGTGTTTCTCGCCTTCCCGATTCTCAATCTGACATCCTCGTCCGTTCCTCCTGTAGTTGAGACAATGCTCGCTAGATAAGTGAATGAAGTAACCTCTTTCAAATCCATCCCGTTGAGGGTGATTGGCGCTGGATGTTGCTGCTGCTGTTGTTGTTGTTGGTTGGTTATTTTCATAACCTCCGTCTTGTCTATGTTCACCTGGAGTCCTGTCTTTGCTGCTTCTTCGACCAGTTTGTCGCAGTATCAGACTAGTGATACATGTGCTTTATTGCAGTATCATCACATTTCTGTTTTGGAGTCTAGCAACTTGTGTCAGTGTAATTCCCTGAAAGGTTCTATGTCAATCTGGCTATACACTTATCCAATGCAAAGACTATTTCGAAAAGTGATTTTACCTAGTGGGAAATTACCCTTTAGTGAAATATAAAAGATACTCACTTTGAAAACTTCGGATTTAGGACGAATAGCAAATGACAATGTGACCGGTTTATCCATTTTATGTTTAATGAGGAAACTCTTTCGCCTTAAAAAAAATAAGAGTAAATAATAGGTATTTATTTATTACTTTGATATTACTATAATACTTTCAAATGTATTGTAAACTTAATTCATCTATTAGTGACTTGATCAATAGATATTTAATTACAAAACTGCATTTTAACCATAACAATTTTTACATAGCAATTGTGAAATAGATGCGGCTGAAAATGCCACAGTGAAAAAGACACTCCATAGCCAATTGAACTAAGTAAAAGGAAAGTTGTTATACATTCAAGACATTTATTATACACATCCATTCCTTTGGTTTCATTACGATATAACTAAATGTTCATTCAATTGAGATAAAATTTAAAGTATTATGGAATGGTGGACAGACGCTAAATATCTTCACCTGGTACACCATGCCACACAGTATCACCAGGTGGTACATCTTTTCTTACTCTTGAATTCCTCACGCAGTAATAACACTAACAACAACTTGCTCCATAAAGGCGGTGGTAGCAAAATTATTTGTACACACGTATGCTTAATATCAGACCGTGGATTGCATAATCAAACTCAGTAGGCACCTATGTATCTCGCTTGCACCGTAAATATCGTGAATAAATACATGCAACGCTTTTCAGTGGAAATCACTCCAATAGACAATTTTTGCCTCTGTCCGACATCCATTCTGTAAGTAGTTTTACATCTACAGACAATCAAAGTCAAGTTAAAAGTCGTTTTATCCATTGCCTGCTTACCGTGAAGCATTCAATTTTTTTGTCTGAGTGAGAAACATTCCTGCTGAAAACTGAACCAACTAATAACACAGTTTCTGGGTAAGTCTGAAGATATCATCGTCTGACTTCTTAGAAAAGATTATCACATAAGAATCAAAAGGTCGACTTAACACAAATATAACGCTACTTTCTTACTTTTTTCTGCACAAAGGAATAAATTTGAATGTAATCAGGGAGCACTATGATAACTAACGACAAAGACTAACGACGGAGTAGCTTTATTGAAAACCCCCGCAAACTATAGCTTTGTAGCACGTGAAGTGAAGCCAATGCAGGAGTAAGACAAGGCTAACTGTTATCACCGATGATATTCCTAATTGTGGTGGACTCGATTATGCGTAACATTATAGGTAGTGAGAAGATAGGAGTAATTTGGACCGATAAGAAGACTCTAGAAGATCTGGATCTCGCCAATGGTCGATGTTTAATGTCACACAGACTTGAAGACTTGGAGTCGAAAACCAACAAACTGGCTGATGAGACGAGACAGACAGCGAAGACAGGACTTCAGGTGAACATAGAGAAAACGAAAGCGATGCAGACAACCAACCTACCAACCAACACCAATAACAAGTAGCACCAATCACTATCAACGGAAGAAATATACATAAGGTTACTTCCTTCACTTATCTAGGAAGTATCGTTTCAAACACAGGTGGACAACAAGGATGAAGACGTCAGCACCAGCCAGAATCGGAAGGAAAAGACACGCCTTCATCAATCTGAAACCAGTTTAGAGATCTTCTACACTCCACTCAGCATCATAAAGAACAAGATTCAGATTTCCACCACAAATGTTAAGTCAGTCATCGCCTCAATCTGCGTCAGAAAGTTGGTGTGCGCGTCACCAAAAGCAATTCCAATAGACCACTGCATACTTTTAACAACAGCTGCCACCTTCGCTAGCTGCATATTGAAGATCGAATGGCCAGGGGACCAGAAAGAATTAACAACAGGAAAGTCTGGCTGGCAACAAATTAACCAAGAGCCCATTGCTCAACAAATATGGAGAAGATAATGGAGGTGGACGTCAAGGAGGCCATCGAGTGACACAGCGAGCAGTGCAGGCCATCGCTCGAGTGGAATCCAAATGGGAGACGACGAATGGGCCACCTGAAGGTTACATGAAGGAGCTTGTGCCAGGAAGAGACGACAGACTATGGGTAATTGTGGACCCAGGTGGAGAGGACCGCAGAAAAAAGGACAAAGTGGAGATGTGCTGTTAAAGTCCTATGTTCCATTAGGAACTCAAGGGAACAACTTTAATAATTTGATGATATTAATTATTATTACTATTATTTTAGTACATTGCTGTGGTGGTTTAATGGTAAGTTATATTTTTTGTATGCTTTCTAAATGAAATTTTGCATTAAAATTTTTTTCTGGCGTACATATTATCGGTGGCATTATATTCTTGAACTGCGTTACATTTGCTGCACTTTTAGCAAAAACATCGCTTGATACTGGTATCTGCACAATGTAGTGGGTTAAACGATGCAGTAAGATCAGAAGTTAAACGCATATTTTTGGAATTTCATGAAATCATGCTGGTATATATTTTGGCCTATTTATTCAAACGCCCTAATACCCACCACCGTATAAAGGTGGCGTTTCCTCGAAAAAGGGATATTCCATATAATCGCCTTCAATGGTGCATTCGAGTTATACCAAACTTATGTTGAGACGGAATTTTCTAAATAACAACAAAAATATACAACCTATAATTATTAAATCTATAAATTATGGGGAAAAACCACACAGAAATATTCCACACACTACTGTAATTAGTTCAACTGAATATTCACTTACTGCATTTGTCCACAAACAGCTCCAGCCCATATTAAACAGTCAGTATTTGAAAGAATAGGAATTTTTTGAGCCTTAGACATTTCTGAAGAGACAGCATCTTTCTGAGGTGTTATAGACACTTTATTAATCGATAAATTTTCATGTCCAACTTTTGGTAGATATCTAATAGGTGAATCGGTGGATTCATTTGAACGAAGAGAATTCGAATGTTGAGAGTGTTTTCTGTTGACGCTTAGATTTTCTTTCTCAGAACAAATCATATCATCATTAGCAGGTGGTACATTCTCTTTTCCCCCATCGACCTAAATATAAACATCAGGCAATAAATAAATACACTATTTTGCATCAACAAATATGCATACATGAAAAATATGAGCATGTGGATTTCTACTGACTTATGTACCTGCTTTTCTGACTCCTTATAACTCTTGTATTCCTTTACCACTCTTATACAATTCCATATTTTCCTGCGTTTCTATTTACATCCTAATCAAAACCCACTCACCATTAATTTATTCACCTTATTACGTAACTACACAATACACTTATTCAACTTCTCTTATGCAGTGACTACTATTAACAACTATTCTTTGACAACTCATCACCACTACTCTCTTAACAATCTTTACCGCCACCCCCCCCCGGTAGTTACAATTTGATTATTCATCACATTTTTTTGAAATATTTCGATGACATAAACAACAACCCTAGCTAATTTTTACTCTTGTCCGACAAACCTAATGTATATACTCATGCACATACACATGGAAGAAGAGGATATCTACTGCTCTCAGAAGGACATTCTTCGCTGCCACACTACGACTGACATTTTCCTCCCGGCCATTGTTCCTCAACTACTCTAAAGATAAACTATCGCATTTGACCACTTCCATGTGTATCTACCAATTCACCTGCTCTTGCGGAGCGAGGTATATAGGTCGTTCGATGCGAATTTTATCTAAAAGAGTTCAAGAACACTATCCCGCCTGGCTACGGAAAGGTAACATCGGAGCAATAAGGAGCGCCATTATTGAGCATATACTCAACACTGGTCATTCGATTTGCAAGGAGAAGTAGTTTAAAGTCATCTATAAAGTCAAAAGAAGCCTTCCAAAATCGACAAGCTTCCGTATACTTTGTATTGCCGAAGCCTTAGCGATTTGGATGGAAAGCCACACCCTCCTACGAAGCAGCTGTTCAGTACTCCCAGGTTTTCCAATGGTTCTCTAACCAATGTTAGCTCATGATGAAATCCTGTAACCAATCAACCAAATCCCTACAAACCAATACTTGAATAGCAGTGGTAATTATTTTTACGGGATGGGGATTATTCATGAATTTAAATATGAGCATTTTAATTCATTTCTTTTTCTGCAGATGAATAGCAAATGATGCGTAGGAACAATGTCAAACAGAGTTATAATTTAGTTAGTTACAGCCTGCAAAACTTGACAGTAGAGTTCCTGGCCTTAGCATTAAATGATACGAATCCTTATCTGCAAGGCAAAACTGCCGTTATGTTATGCCTTAACGATGAGTATTGATCATCATAAGATCAAGGTTTAGTGTTTTCCGGATACTGAGAGCACATATTTAAAACCAGTCTCTCAAGATCAACACAAAATTCATTACGAAATCAAAACCATATAGAAAATTCCATCGGAATGGGAAGAAAACCGCAGAGAATCTGCAATCCAATTCAAACAACTACTTCACCCTATCAATTAGATAGACGCAGCTATGCGTGAATTTCAGATATGCATGTTTTGTATGACAATCCGCATACTGTTAAACTTAAATTACTTCGATTAGGAGGGTATTTTTTAAAGTCTGGTAAACATTGGTATTACTTTAGAGCACATGTAACAGCTTTGCGAGTAGCAAGAGTCAACATTCTGCCACGCAACCACTTAAAAAATCTGCACGAAACCCTATGGAAAAAGCATATTATCTATGTACAGCTGGCTTACCTTGGATGAAGGAAAATTTGCTTGTTTCCCCTCTGAACTGTAAATAATCTTATTAGAACCAATTGTATTACTAACAGCAGGTTTTAGTGCTTGTCTGACAGCAGCCACTTGTTTAGTAAACTGTGAACATACTTTATTGTACTGAGTTGCTGGTTCACAAGTTTTAGACTGCTTACCTAGAGCAGTTATCATATCCAGTAAACCATCAATATCAGACATGTGTAAACAGCTAATGTCGATTTTTGACATGTCCAGATTTCCTAATATTGTATCGTCAGCCTCCATAGCATTATCAACTTTCTGGATATCATGTGAAGCATTTTCAGATAAGTCGTGTTTTGAAATCTGCTCTTGAGGAGCTTGAGAAATATTATTTGCATCAGCTGAATTAGCAAGATGACTGTTTGTATGGCTTAGGAGTTGTCTATTTACATCATGTACTGATGACAGCGATGCAGAATTATTTGCATTCAAATTAGTAGTTGGTTTAGGCAATTCAGGTGGTACACAATTATCTGACTAAAATTTTTAAAAAGATTTAAAAGAACATTTAAAAAGTGAATAAACATCACAATAGATTATAGTACTATTGGTTAATTATTTTTAAATGACTCATAGATTTTATTAACTAAAGGAAATGCTGGACAGCTGTGTTCGCTGATTGAACCTGAGGTTCATCAGGTACGTCCAGACAAGCTCAGATCACTAGATAATCGAATACTGAAAGTTATACGAATCTTATCGGCCAACTTGAATGCATCAGTTGTCATTAGATGAAGGCACAGATAGCATATACATAGAAATTATCTCTTCCCAACGAAAATCCTTATGGAATTATGGTTACACAATTCAAGAAATTACTGGCTATGAAAAATGCCGAAATCTAATGAAGAATTTATAAACAGTCTGAGAATCACCTAGCATACTTCATTGTCTTTTTTTCAACGATAATTTTAATCACTGTATAAAATAATCAGATGCCAGTAAGTATTCATTAGAAATACACTGCAAATGAATTATAAGGAGATAAGTTTTAATGTCGTAAAGTTTTCATTGATAATAGTAGTCAATTACAACGACATTATATGATTATAACACCACGAAGATAAGCACCTATTTCCTAATGATCAAAGAAATCCCACCTATTGTAATTAATCGACTCTTAGCGCATTCAAATCAGTCAAAATGCGTTAACAGCGCTTTAAGAACCTTAAATTAAAAATTTAATTGGTGGATGGTGACTAGCAGTGGAATCCAGGATGCGCATTTTGTCCTATTTGGGACTCGTCATCTGGATGTACTTGCATTCACCCAGTGAGTGATGATGTTCCCACCGAAGCATCCAGATGATGGGTCCCAAAAAGGACAAAATGCTCATCCTGGATTTCACTGCTAGTCACCATCCAACAATTAAATTTTAATTACATGCCCAGACATCGTCGAAGCATCGGCACAAGAAGCCAACATGTCAACCTGAGACCAAGCACTTCGGTCCAGTCAGTCAATGGGAAAATCTAAAATTCAATTAAAGCTTAAATTATTTATCAATACACTGTGCGGATTGTAAATAGTCCCAATAACAAACTATTCACTTTAGTGGATTCAAACAAGTGAAACATCTTAACTGGTATATGAATTTTATTTCCTAAATAAACATCTATCTAAGTTACTACAATTTACGTGGAAGGTAGTCAGTCGATCGGCTGGCTAACCTGAGTTTAAGTGTACTCAGAAGAAAACGAAGCAGAAAATACACTACACGAAAAATAACTCCCTTTTAGGCGGAAAAATCACACAGATATAAAGTCTAATGCTACTGACTTAGCTGCTCCTCTGTCGAGTAAGTAAGCTATTGGTCAGTCATTAATAATACCCTCGTTTTGAAGTTTCGAAAAATAGTAATAATTCCTAAAAGTTTACTTGAAGTCCACTTTTTTTATACTGTAATCACTTCCTAGTTTTATGAAGTATATCCATATTACCATTTTTACCAAATAACCTTGTTTTCGTCAATCAGGAAGTTAAATCGAAATATCAAAAAGTAAGAAAAACACTTAAACAGCATACTTTGTTGCCGAATGAATTACTCTCAAGAGCAGATGATAAGCCAGTAAGACATGGTAGGTGTGAATATAGTTTGACACGAGATCTTATTAGTGACTGATCAACTCCCTTAGTCTGTGAGCTTAACTGCTTGTCAATAGTATTGTCTGGATGACCTTCTGAAACTTGAGTAGAAGGTCCAGTAGCCTGTGAATGCAAAATAAGAAAAGAGATAGCCAAACGAACGATGAGAAAAGAAATTTAGGTTTTAGTGATGGATGCACTTTCATGGTATAATCCAAAACATATATGTTAGCCAAGTGACATATACAATGCGAATAAAATACAGAGAACATATAGACGGGGTTTTGAAACTACTAGTCTAGGTAGCTAAGTTTCATATCAATCAATGAAAATGAATTCAACAAGAGAGGGGACATTCCAAAACGGCAGTATATGTATTCTAAATAAGTTGAATACTAATTATAAACTAGAAGCGTTGAAATTTCACCTTTAAGGAAAGTTACCTTCATTCTTTACAATTAATTTACCAAACTAAACCAACAAACAATACACATGAGAAATAGATCAGCCCCCTCGTAACCTTGTGAAATGTCTTTATTATTAGAAACTGGCAGCAAGATTTTCAATTAAAAATGTTCGGAAAATGTTAGTATGTCAAAGCGCTTGGTAATAAGATATATGCATTATATGATAGCTGATAGTAGCAGTCTGCTCAACTCTTAGTCGGTGAAGCTGGATTCTAACCCGTGACCCACCTAAATAAAGGTTGAGTAAATAATCTTATGAACTACAAGTGTAGAAAAAGCAACAACTTACTTAGTACATATGAATTTATGGTCAAAAACACTTAAGAACAGATGTATCAAGCAAAATTAACATGCTTTACTCGCTTACCGGGCAAACAACATGTGGTTGTGCGGGATCTTGTGCTTCAACATCAACAATACTACCATCGGCTTCGCCACTGCCCTCGGCTGACTGTAAAGAAGGGACTGATGTTGTATTGCCTTCCGAACACTCTTCCCCCGTCGCCGGTGGTTTGCATGATACTCGACGGGCAAATGTTTCACACGCGCGAGTTGGGATAGTTGTTTCTGATGTATCACAATCGAAATCACTAAAGGCATCTTCTAACATTTTTAGCTCTTCGTCATCGAACTGAATTTTCTGTTGCTCTGCTTCAATATCCGTAGAAGGGGGCTGACAGTGTTCAACATTAAAGGTATCCAGTTGCTTAATTTGGTTCTTTTCACCTGACGAAAAATTAATAGAATAAACGTGAATACTTGAAATAGAAATGACGAAGCAGACACAAAGAATACTTTAAACTAGACTTACTTAACTTTTTCGTAATCACTTCGTGCAAGCTGCGATCTAAAACACTATCTGAAAGACCTAAAAACATTCCGAAATAAACGTTAAAAAACACCTACCCTTTATTGCATCAATGTTTAAAATGCTAGTTTCTTTATTGCCTTCATCTTGAATATTACGATTTTGATGGTTTTTACTGCCTTCAATAACATAAGTCTGTTTTAGGAAGGCTGGTGAAGTTGGTAGGATTTTATCGAAGTAGGCCCGACCATTTCTGTTGTAAGCTGAATATTTACTGCTGACAGCAGTTGAATGTGCAACTGGGACAGGAGTCCCTAAAACTGTCTCATTCCCGACATTAGCTGACACGCCTCCCTTGTACATAAATGCAGAGGACTCAGCTGACATACCTAAAAAACCATTCGGAAACATACATTCATTTGCATAAAAACTACACTATAAAGCCAGTCATACAATGACCGAAAAAAGCAAAGCTATATTGTATTATGGTTAGAAACCACTGTTATGTAAATGAAACACGGTGGACTATCATATTACAGAAAATTAACAACAATCATAGTAATACAGTTTATTCGTCTTGGTGGTACATGACAAGGTTATTTCAGAAACAATTGTTAAAAATATGTGAGGTCTTTTGCTGCACATCATCGACTGAGTTTAAACATGGAACACTACACAGAAATGCAGCAGTTCAAGTTGTCATCAAAAAGTTAAACACTCAACAGACATCGAAACGGCTTAAGCTGCCACTTTTAAACTCTGATATGCCTCACAAAAATGTATGATGAGGATACATGTCATGAAGCAAAAGTACTTATTAGCTCACAGGTGATTCATCAACTTGGACACCGTTTTCAACCGACGAAGTACCCCCTAAGTCTAAAGAGGCTCTCGTAGCCTATTATAAATTTCTGTCCTCAAGTAGTGACTATATTTTAGGTATGATCAGACATCGGATAAATTTATTTGATGTGACAGTGATACAGTATTGATAACTGGAAGGTGGAAAGTGAGAGCTTAATTATATTTAGGCTCAATTACCTACAAGTCTTCATGTACCAGGGTGAGCCACACTTATCATGTGGGGGCTGATAGTAATACCCAGCTGTCCATGTTGAAGAAGGTGGAGCAGGAATTCAACCCATGACCCATCGACTGTAAACCGAGTGCTTAAGCCAACTTCCAGATACGGTAAAACTCAACTGAAATCGAAGCTGCTACCAACAGAGTTGGATTCAATCAGACGTAAAACCCATCAACGATAGTTTTAGAGGATTCGATCTACCTAACGCCAAAATACTGTCATTACATGTAGTCCTCGAAATTATGTATTCTCCCAGTGGCACAAATTTTCCAACCATTTCCAATCAGCAAGATCTCTTAAATTGTATACTGTTTTAAAGCGTCCTCTGAAAGCTAAGTTTGATGTTTCCACAAATAGACATATAGGCAATTACTCTCGGTCGGTCGGTCGGTCAGTTTTCGACATGGAACTTTGCACATATGTGCGGCAGTTCAAGTCGCCACCCTCCCTCCATGTAGCACATAATGCAAGAGAAGAAAGTAGGAGAAATGCAAAATAGAGACAGTAAACAGAGGTGTGAGACAAAGGAATAGTAATAACGTAGAACAAAACAGTTTAATTGGAAATCATAAGTCACAAGGAGTGGATGCATCTGCGCCATCACTGAGAAAGATTTTGAGCCATGTCACCAATTGGTTCCAACCATTGGTTTTTACCGTCCCGAGGACGCCAACCAGTCAGGAAGTCTACATCTTCCTACGTGGCTTAAGCTAACTGTTGTGGGTTTCATTGACTGGTGCCATGTTTTCGTTTGACCGTCACTAGCTCTTTTCCAGTCTGGCCCTATATCAGCTAACATTGCCCGTCGAGGAAGGCGATGACTAGGCATACGTAGCACATGTCCTAACCATCTCAGTCGATGTAATTTCACAGTTTCGCTGACTGATTTCCCCGCCTTACCTAGCACTCGACTGAGGCCTAACCTCAATATTGCTCACCTTATTATACCACTTCACATGGGAGATAGAACGTAGACACCTACCATCAAAGACAGCTAGCCAGGCTTTTCATGTCTTCCACTCTCAATGGCCAGGTCTCACAGCCATAAAGGAGGACGGAGCGGACTGTTGAGCAGTACACACGCCCTTTGGTCGATAGTCGGGTATCGCGTCTACGGCGGAGACGGCGTAAACTGGCATATGCGAACCTAGCCCTCTGTATTCGTGCTGAGATTTCGTCGGAGGTGAACCCGTTGGGGCTGATGGTACTTTGGGTCATAGATATGACCCAAATTTTGTTCGCTCTCTGACGACCGCGGTTGTATTTCTTCTTCACCAACATTGTCTCATCCACGTGGACTGCTACGTCGTCCCCGCCTAACAACGAAGTAATTCTGTCCATTCTCCATGAGGCGAGTCTCTGCAGTGCTGGTACCACTGAACTGTTGAGACGAGGCTGTTCTCCGTCTCGGCAGCAGAGGCTCTCATGGGCTGTTTCAGTACCCAGTAATTGCAAATGTACCAAATCTGGGTTAGAGAGAGATGCGACCTAGCAAAAACAGTTCCTAAGAAATATTACCCTCTCTAATACTAATTCGCTTCCAGCAAATTCCACAACGATATACAAAACCATCAGTTGACCTAGTATAGCTTTTTAGGGTCATTACACCACCACACGAACAACTTCTCTCCTTTCCAAACAAGCCTAAGTCCAGGAAATACTGAAAGACATTATCCTCCTCGAAATGCAAACATAACATTGTTAGGGCACGCATTAAAATGAGTCAAGCGCTATACAACATTGAACCACGTTTGTGAATCCCATTGGATAATTCCAATATCCAATATCGTTTCTACGAGCTAGTATAAACCAATCTGATTTCTTTGTGCTCGCCTCTTGATTGTGAGGTAGAGGTTCCTGATCTTCGGTAAACGTCTGCGTAGCTCGTCCCGCCACTCGACTGCCGTAGCCTTGGTTGGCTCCAAAAAGAGTAGTGCAGGGATTAATTATATGTGGTTTGTAGTATAAGGTGTGTTAAGACTGTTACTACTGTGAATGGAGTTGATCCTTTCACCAGTTGGTCCTTCGGTATCGTCGTCAATAGAAAAGAGATAATAATAATAGATATAATTAGTGAAGGTATTCAGACTAACAGGCAGAAAAAGAATAAGAAAACGTAACAACAGTCAGTCAACCGGTATATATATATATATACCAGTAATAATGATAATAATAATAGGTGTAGTTAAAGCTGTCAGGAGAGTAAGACTGAAGAGAATGTAAAGAAGTAAAACGACCAGTTTAATTGTCTACCTTTGAATGGTGTATGCGATTTTAAGGGGATAGGCCATTTGGATGCAATCCTTGTGTCGCTGCATGGTTGTCCAGCCTTCGCTTAAAGGCGTCCACAGATGGTGCCATAGCTACATCTGCCGGTAAGGAATTCCAGGGACGGCAAACCCGCAGGGAAAAGAAGTGGAAGCGCACCCGGGTCCTTGCCCTCTGATGAGCTATCCTTCTGGGATTTCCACGAGGGAGCCTATACCTACTCAATGGCAGAACACCTTTGTTCGGGTGATTCTGATCATTTGTTATTTTGTAGGCAGTAATTAAATCCCCCCTAAGGCGACGGTAACTGAGTGTGAATAGGCCTAATTTCTTCAGCCTTTCATCATATGGTTTATTTCGGAGACCAACCACTCCTTTTGTTGCCCGTCGCTGGACTCTTTCCAAGAGGTTGGCGTCTCTTTTAAGCAGTGTGGGTGCAATGATATTATGCACTTCAAGATGCGGTCTAACGTATGTTTTATACAACCTTAGAAAGAGCTCAGGAGTGAGTGCACCTAATTGTCTATGTGTAAAGTGTATGACCGCATATGCCCTCGCTACATCCCCCGTGTAATTTACGCTTGTGTCCATTTTCTCCGTTAGAACTAGACCTAAGTCACGTTCCGACGTTGAGCAGGACAAGCTTTCATTGCACAGGGTGTAACTTGCATTCGACGTCGTTCGCTGATTGGTAGTTATTGGTGTCTAAAGTTTAACTTGGCCCTGGCATAAAACGTGAAAGATAGAAGTTCCATCACGACCATGGTTATTTCTGGCTAATTATGAACGTGAAATACACTTACCAAGTGTGAATATAAATGGCAATGGATAGAGGCACACACGACCTTATGGAGAGGCTGAGCACTTCAAGGTCACTTGTGTATATTGTGATTGGTGGATTCAGCTTTGCGTAAACGCTGCAGCTAATACGTAGCATACGTTACTGAGGCGGGCTTTGAAATGATAATGATAAAAATCGCATAAACATTACATTTTTCAGCTTAATGGGTCAAGTTAACATACGTAAGATTTTAGAGATGTGTCATGCATTGGATCCATTAACAAAAAGAATATTATTCCGTAACATAATCAAAGAGGTATAAAATTTGAAGATTTAGTCTTTTTTCAGCTGGTTGTAACGGACGGATAGGAGAGGCAGTTGTGTAATATATACATTTTGCAAAAGGCAAACTGTGAAAGATAAATCGGAAGTTCTATAATTCTTCAAATGTGTCATAGAACATATGTACCAATCTTACCAATTATACTATTGTTCCCTCCCTTGTTGACATATTCATTGTGGCTAAGATAAGGAACTGTTCACCTAAGGTAAGATTAATCCACTTGATATGTATACATCCCTAGATATTTCTCAGTGCGGCCGGAGGTGGTCGAAGGAATACAGTCTCGATCATTGCACGGAAAAATCACAACCAGTTTCTTCTGAAGGATCGGGTGGTGCTGGAAGCTGTAAAGATGGGTCGTGTCACTATCATGTGAGGGAAACTGATCCACATATTGTGAATAAAACGATTAGTTGACTTTAATTTGACTATGATGTAGCCATAAAAAAATCTACAACTGTAATTTCTTCACTGAAATGTTATAAACCCTTTTTAATTTGAAAATATACTGCTTGACCGTTGTTCTTTTGTAAATATATGCATTTATGTCGACTACTTGTACCTCTCTCATTTATCATTTCGAGGACATTGCATAGTTAACGAAATTGATAGGCAACTTAATAATACTTATGTGAATTGCATCATAGTCGTAAGCCGTTATTATTCCCTCAGTGCGTCATCAAGCCTCGCATGAAATGTTTCAGTTACATTTAATCCGGTTGCGCATAGTATAAGTATGCATTAGTGTTGAGAAGAAAAGATCGTCAAACATGTGTTTGTATTGTTTGCAGGACGACTACGGTCATCGAAAATAACGTATTATAGATATATCCTGTTTAAGATAATTATCCTGGTATTCTTATACTGCGCATATTATCATTCTTTCGAGGTAAATCATTACGCATTCCAAAAAT